GCTTGCATCCATAGATGCTTCTCAAGCAAATCCCAGGACGTCATTCTCCCCTAGTACTCGGCCTTGGTGAGGCTGCAGCTGGAGTACTGCATCTAGTTTTGGGCTCCACAATTCAAAAACGATTTGGAGAAGCTTGAGAGAGTCCAGAGAAGAGCCACGGGCATGATCAGAGGTCAGGATAACAGACCTTATGATGAGAGGCTGAGAGCCATGGGACTCTTCAGCCTGGAAAAGCACAGGCTCAGGGGGGACCTGGTGGCCACCAGTAAGTTTATTAGAGGTGTTCACCAGGATCTGGGGGAATGTCTGTTCACCAGAGCACCCCAAGGTATGACAAAATCGAACGGTCACAAACTCCGCCACAACCAATTCAGGCTGGACATAAGGAAGAACTTGTTTACTGTCCAAGCCCCCGAGGTTTGGAATAGACTGCTGCCGGAGGTGGTTCAAGCACCCATTTTGAACACCTTCAAGACACTTTTGGATGTTTATCTTGCTGGGATCCTATGATCCCTGCTGACTTCCTGCCTCTGGGCAGGGGGCTGGACTTGATGATCCTCCAGTGTCCCTTCCAGCCCAAATGTCTATGAAATTTATGAAAGGTGTTGCACCTGGGGAAGAAGAACCAGCAGCATACCTACAGGCTGGGTAACTCCCTTCTTGTCAGCACAGAGGCAGAAAAAGATCTTGGAGTCCCTATTGATTCCAAGATGAACGTGGGCCGCCAATATGGGGACGCAGTCATGAAGGCCAACCGTACCTTGTCATGCATCCATAGATACATCACTAGCAGGTCCAAGGAGGTGATCCTCCCCCTCTATGCGGCACTGGTCAGGCCGCAGCTGGAGTACTGCATCCAGTTCTGGGCACTGCACTTCAGGAGGGATGTGGATAGCATTGAGAGAGTCCAGAGGAGGGCCACTCGCATGATCAGGGGGCAGCAGGGTAGGCCCTATGAGGAAAGGGTACGGAACCTGAATCTGTTCAGCCTCCACAAAAGAAGGCTGAGAGGGGATCTGGTAGCTGCCTATAAATTACCCAAGGGAGACCAGCAGGCAATGGGAGAGTCCCTGTTCCCCTGAGCACTACCAGGAGTAACAAGGAACAACGGCCATAAGTTGACTGAGAGTAGATTTAGGTTAGACATCAGGAGGCACTACTTCACTGTCAGGGCAGCTAGGAGCTGGAACCAAGTTCCAAGGGAAGTGGTGCTCACCCTTACCCTGGGGGTCTTCAAAAGGAGGCTAGAGAGACACCTAGCCAGGGTCGTTTAACCTCAGCATCCTTTCCTGTCCATGGCAGGGGGTCGGACTTGATGATCTGCTTAGGTCCCTTCTGACCCTACCAACTATGAACTCCCCGGCTTGCTCCTGTGGCCATATGAAACTCAGGGGCATCCAAATCCCAAGCCTCTAGGCTTGAGTCTGCACATAGGATTCCTGCATCTGAAGCCCCAGGTGAGAGTGGAGGGTGTAATAGTAGTAGGGCCACATACGATTTTTGAAAGACTAACAGATTTTGAATTGATTTGGATGATTTAACTTGGAACATGAAAAAATGTCCTTAAAAATAATAATAATAATAATAAAATCAACCTTTTTAAATGTAGCATACTTTTGGCACTATGGGAAGGGTGTCACGGCTAGCGCTGGTTCTCCTGGTGATGTCATAATATTGCAGTACTTCTAGGCCTGGTGCTGGTTCCCTGTGGAGGGAACACCAACCCATTTTTTAAAGTGATATATAGACACAGACATACAATTTCCCATCATTGTGTTTGCCCTGTATGCCCTGCTTGGACCATGCATTTTATAGCCTTGCTCATTGTTCACTTCATTTAATCAACTTCATAATTGGCTTCCATTATTGAGCACATAGCATATTATGGGGTCTGTGTTGTTACATATCATAATGTTTTACTTATTCCTGTTACCATTATCAATTACAAAGTTTGCAGTTTCTATTATATCATTCTGATGCCATGATAAATCATTCATCATGTATGTGTATAGCTAAGAAATGATCTGCACATAAGCCATTTAAGTCAGGCTGAGCTGACATGATTTTTTTAGTCAATTTGTAACTAAATCATACTATAAAATATGCATATTGCATTATTATATGCATTTATGATCATACTTTCATGTAGTATTCAGACTATTACTCTATTTTTATTGACACCATTAAAAACTCTGCTATTAACTTTAGTGCACAATAAAAGTTATAATGTAGGCAGCGACATTCTACACAGCTAAGGGTCCACTGTATTTTTCCACTCACAAATATGGGCTTGTTAATGAGTGAAGAATACTCTCTCAATATTTTATGAATTCATGGAAGATTTCCCATATTATATGTATTACTCAGAAATAAGATAATAATGAATCTGTTTCCCCCTCTTGTGATACTCATATCACTCCTTGGCTAAGTGGAGGACATATCCAGGCCTTTAAAAGTAGAACAGAATAAAAGTCAATTTCTATGTCTTGGGAAATTCTGACATTAAAAAAAAAATCCAAATAAGAGAGTGTGTGTGTGAGAGAGACGGAGAGGAGGAGGGAAGGGGGGAGGGAGCATTCCTGGGAAACTTAAAACATTTCAATTTCGTTTTTCTGAGAGAAAATGGAGCAGCTGGTTCCCCTGACTCCCAGGGACTCCTCATACTGTCTCTATTCCTAGGGACTTCCTGGACTGTTCCTGGAAGTCAGGGCTGAAGAAAGGCCTAGAGTCAAGGGAGTTCTTTGCTCTGGAGTAGGTTTTCTGGACACTCTGAAATTTCTGGCTCTAG